GCGCACCGGGGCATCCAGCAGCTCCAACTGCGAATCCCTTAAGGGAGTTGATTCCGGCCATGTCCCTCGATGGCTTGGTGACATGGAATCGGCAGGAGGCGTGAATTCCGGTAGGGCTTGCGACGGCTGGGAACTGGCAAGGACGGCAATCCGTGGCTCCGAAGCGAATTCTGGATTTGCAGATGTCGCTTGTTCCAGCTTGGCTGGCTGCGACAATGCCGCGGGGTCGGTCTCTGACGGTGCTAATGCCGCCATCGCCACCTCATTACCACCAACATAGAAAATGCTAGAGAAAGTGCTTCAAGGCCTCAACACTGCTTGCGAGTCACACGCGGCAGCTCATTCAGCGAAACGACGACGCTTGCAGAACTGATCGGGAGTAGACTTTCATCGACGGCTCCTTCCGCACCCGGCATGACCCCTGGCCCTCACAGTTACACCTTATCACAGAAGCCCTGCAATGGCTGAAGCTTGCGCGCTCTCTTGCAGCCTTACTCAGCAAAGACTCTCACAGAAAACATCGGCAAACACAGTTCGATCCGGGTAGAGCTCTGCTTGGCTGTGGAAGCTCGTGCTGGAAAGAAAATCGGCGCTGCACCTCGGGGACAGGCAATGAGTGGGAGGTACAGTAGGCCATGAGTTGGCTTCTGTTTGTCTTGTGCCATCCTCAGAAGTAGAAGGGGCAAGGACCCAACAACAAGCGACTGAGCTGCTGGCTTCTGGGTGAGCGGATGACACATACAGCAGCGTGCCAGGCAACGTGACCACCGGTTCAGCAAAGCCTCATCAAGTTGGGTGTAGTTAGAGCACAATGAAAGTGCTGGACCCTGCAATCCTCTACGAACTTCCACTGCTACTTCTGACAAGCAACAGCCAACTCCGACTATCCCAGGGCGTCGTCTTGCAATAGGGCATAAGCAGCACAATCCCAAACCACCCCTAAACCCCAAAAACCCTAAAGCCCCCCAAAACCCCCCCAAAACCCCCTGGCCTTCCGGCAGGCTTTCCGGAAGCACCGGAGCAGTGGTCTGCGAGAAGCTGCAGCCCATGGCTCAAAGAGGCGCTACAAACCGTAAGAAGAGGGCCTAGGGGTTTAGGGGGGTTGGGGGGGGATTAGGGGGCTTAAGGAGGGTTCCGGGTTTAGGGGTTGGGGGGCAAAAAGGGCCCAGGAGCTGAGGCTTAAGGATTGGGGCTTCAGGACTCATTTTTAAACCTCAGTCGTTAGGTCTGCCAGGGCCCTGGTTGGCTGGACACACTTTTTGCACTCAGTGGGTGCTGAAACCCTGCTCTGAGCAAACACACGGAGCAAAAAAAAGGCGGAACTCAACACAGACTCCAGGACCTCTGGGCCTTTCATGAACTTCTGGACTTGAAGGGGGGCGTGGTTCCCACATTTCTTCCAGAGACTGCCAGCAATCATGACTGGTGACGCGGCCCCCTCTTGGCACGTCCTGCCTATACAAAGACTCTGCGAGTCTCAGCGATCACTTCCAGCACACCCAAGTGCCACAAGTAGGATGGGAAACACACTGCCGTGTGTAGAAGTTGAGTGCGATCTGAATAGAAAGATGGAACTTGTGGCACCACACGGACTGGCAGTGAGGAGAACTGCGCCAAGTGAGTGCTGTGTCGTCTTCGCGTCTTCGCTCAGCGGTAGCGGCCTTGGTGGGGATATTCGATTGGATACTGACTTGCTGGCGAAGCGAAACACACAACTGGCTGGAAATGAGTGAGGTACCCTATATCATCCCCTAAAGAGTACATATAGGGCCCTAACTTCCCTCATTCCCGACTAAGAACCAGGGGGACAGTTCGAAGCAAGAGGTCCCTGAGGCTCGAGCGCAGGCGCATGAGGGAGTGGCGGCGGTAGGCGGCGCGGTAGGAGGGGCGGAGCTTGGTGGCGCGCTTGCCCTTCTTGAGCAGGCCGCGGGCCTCTCTTTCAAAGAAAGGGGAGTAAGTGAAGTCATGGCACAATAATTCTTGAGCACCATGTATCACTTGGGACCTTGAGATTTAGTGTTTACCTAAAACCCTAAACATCGTCCTTCTTGCCGGCGGCCGTGAGACCACGCAGCTCGCGGTGCTTCATCACCTGCGGGCTTTAACTATCAAGGATCCCTGGCACAAGCCAAGCTCTGGCAAGGCGGGCTTCGGGCTCAGGGTTTAGGATATAAAGTAGGGTTTCTATTCCTTGTCTCCCAACCATAACAGTAAAATAAACCCTGTTTCATATGGATCCACAAGAACCACATAAGCATCGAGCCCCTGGCTGGCTTGCAGATCCAGTTGATGCGTGGATCATCGCGGACCGTCTTGTGGAAAGGATCCACCATGACCACCTTCACCATGTTCTCACTCATGTATATATGTCTTTACTTGACTATACTTTTCTAACTTACATATAGTGTATGCTACATCAAACACCAAAACATACAATGTACAATGGTATTTGTGTATATACATACAAATGTATACCTATCTATGGTGCAGGTCTCTTGAGGCTTAGCGCCCCGACCCGCGGCGTGCCTCAAACCACTTGTGCACTGCATCCTGGGCTACCTCAGAGGCACATTCTTTGCACTTGCCGCACATGATTAAGGTTCTTAAGTTCTGTGCAGAGCTTTGCAGGGCAAAAGCACTGCAAGCAAAGTATCAAGGATTTTCAAGTGCACTGCCGTAACTGCCGGCAGGATGCCCAGTAGGAGTTCAGCACCCGCAAGCTCCCGCACTTCCGGCCCACACGCTCCTCCGCAATGTTGCGGAGATTCCGGACTGCCTCACAATGCCATGGCTGTGCATAATTGTGCAAACCTGGGGTATTGCTGCCCTACCGACCGGGGCTCAAATACGCGTATTCTGCCCGAGAATAGGTCGCACCTATTCTGTTCGGCTTGCAGGTTCGTGTGCCTCCTCATGCTAGCCTGAGAGCCTATCACTTTTCTTGGCATCAACATATGCTTCTGCGCGCCTTCCACTTGTTGATGCCCTGGTTCACAGGCTTGCCATACACGATGCCCTGCAGTCAGAACGGGGCCCGGTCGCGCAACAAAAAGTGAGCAGCAGCCAACCGTCTACGCGATGAGAAGATTCCTCTGCACCCTGCATGGTACCCCCTCCTACGTCACACAACGGCCCCCTAAACCCTAAACCCCCCAAACCCTCGACCCTCAACCCTGAACCCTAAACCCAAAACCCCCACAAAGCCTTGGCAACTCGCTTCTTGCGGTCGCCGCGCTTCACGCGAACGCGGTAGATGCAGTAGCCCTGCTTGGCCTAAGGCAGGCGGATGCTTCTGGCTTCCGGCTCGCAAGGCCCGGCTGGAGGGCACTAAGGGAAACCCGAAACCCGAAACCCGAAACCCTAAACCCTAAACCCTAAACCCTAAACCCTAAGCCCCAGCTCTGCGGCTCTCCAAGTCGCCCCAACTTCCAGCGGGCACTTCACGAAGGCTCGCTTTCCGTGGCGCAAAGGGGCTACCCCTGGGGCCCCTGCCTTGTAGCCCATCTTTCGCGCCTTGCAACCGCTTCAGAGCTCAGGTGGTTTAGGGTTTAGGGTTTAGGGTTTAGGGTTTAGGGTCTAGGGTTTAGGGTTTAGGGTTTAGGGTTTAGGGTTTAGGGTTTAGGGTTTAGGGTAGTACTTGCTTCCACGGTCTCCTTGACCCCACATGCACACTTCAAGGGCACGACGCACCAGACTTGCAATGGCGGATGACATGCACTGCTGTTACTCCTGTTGCTGCTGGCCCTGCATATGTATGCATGTATATATGTATATGTGTATATATATATATACATATATATATATATATATAGACTAGATTCGTATTCATACTACTAATGTTGCTTATTGTTATTATGATTATGATGTTTTTTTGGTAATATTATGTGTATATATATATATATAATACACGATACATACATACATACATACATACATACATACATACATACATACATACATACATACATACATACATACATACATACATACATACATACATACATACATACATACATACATACATATATATATATATATATATGGAGAGCCTTGTCCGGGCGCGTGGGCCGTGTGCAGCGGTGCACCGCCGGCAGCTGTCGAAACCTCTTCTTTGGTTTGTTCACGGTTTAGGGTTTAGGGTTTAGGGTTCAGGGTTCAGGGTTTAGGGTTTAGGGTTTAGGGTTTAGGGTTCAGGGTTCAGGGTTCAGGGTTCAGGGTTCAGGGTTTAATGGGGAGGAGGGCTCTGTGGGGCCATTCCGAGGAATTCTGAAGCTTTCGAAAGGCTTTTGCCGCCGTGTGGAATCTGAATCTAGAGGCTTAAGCCTCTGGCTCCCAATTGCGCAGACGCGCCAGAAATCGCATGACGTCCGACTGCTTCTTGCCTCGGGGCGGATAGGAAGACAGGGGAATGGGGGAAGCTACCCTAGAGAAGCCCGCCCCTCATCAACAGGGGCACATCTTGATTCTGCATGGCCCGAGAAACGGGCGCCACATCTCTTCAAGGTACTTGTAGGCGCCCATGATTTCTCAATTCGGTACCTGAGAATAGCTGGGCCGGAAAAGAATGAGCCTTCTACGACCCATACACACACACACACCGCCGTTCTTCCTGCAAGACGTCCGGAAAATCAAGTAACCGCTACCAACGACAAGAAAACGAAAACCCTGAACCCCGAACCTCGGGGGGGGGCGCACGGAGTCGGAATCACGTGGTTTTTCTTTTTGCTGGACAGTTATGGACAGTCCCAGAACCAGAATGGCTCAGGCTTGCACAGGGGCTCAGTCCATGACACAAGCTGAGAAACTTCCGATGTGCTCCATCTCAAGACCCCGGCACTGGTGTCTTCAACTCCATGCAGACATGGCACAAACCGCACCTCCACTAGATGCAGCCTTTTCATGAAGATGTGTGAATCCCCACCAAGGCCCTTCAGCACCCAAGCCAAACTTGAAAGCTGGTGCCAGAATGGAGGGTTGCTCTCGTTTCCTGAGCTGGACACCAGGTCTCCCACAGAGGAACCCACATCCAGCAGCTGTTCCTAGCACACAGGCAACGGAGCTATGGGTGGGTGGGGGGGGGGCTATAGGCTAGGTGCAGTCCTTGTTTGCTGTGACAACTAGCTAGCTACTTGTTTGGACTCGTCGATCCTCCTTTGGTACACCGACGGCTTCGATATGAGGTAGTGTGTTTTTTGCTAGTCTCCATCCCACACATACGCTGACCAATATGTACAGGGTGCCAGAGAAACTCCAGAATAACAGTCATATTAGGCACAGGGTTCATGCTTCCCATTCAGCTGCACTGCGCCACTGCGCTCTGCAAAGGTCCTGGGCAAGGAGCGTCTCCAACGCCTCTTTGGCACGCTGGCGGTCAGAGCCGAGAATCTTCAGAAGGGACCTGGAACGCAACAGTGAACTGCCATCGGGAAATGGGATTGCGCCCTTCCCAAACTCGGGCTGGCGTCTAGGCAAGAGCCGGAGGAGCTTTGATTTGCATTGCAACACTTGGAAGCAAAAATGCGCACGTCGCTTGCGGACCTGGCACGGTGACACGGCACTGTACACTGCAAGCTTGAATTTGATCTTCGTGGTACTCCTTTTGGGAGGATCCCCTGACATCATACGACGGAAGCGCATGCTGAAAACAAACCTTGGCGAATGTTCATGGGTCAGTGGCTCGTGCATTCGCAGGATACTGGGACAACTGGGACAACCTCCTCCCAGCAAAATGCAGCTACACATCGGCAGGCTGGAAGATCTGAGACTCACGAAGACAAAGCCTTCCGCAGAACATCCCCTAGTCTGGAGATGTCCTCCTCAGAATGCTCCGCGGAGCAGCAGAAGCGCAGGCTAGGCCTGGCCACGCCCGGTGCCTTCAGCCGAGCGTCAAAAGCTCCTTCCGAGCCGCATAAGCTCGGTGAGCAGACCTGCACTCGCAACCCGTCCTGGGCGAGGGCCCGGCTCAGGCGCATCAGCTGTTGCTCTTCGTCAGAGTCCTTCCACCGAAGTTGCTGTACAAAGGATTCGGGACTGCTCAGCAGTTCTACCCGAGAGTCTTCCTGAGCAAGTGTGGCCAAAGATAGGTGCAGCTTTGCTGCAGCGGCCTTCACTCGCTCACGCCGACCTCTGCCTTCTGCAGAGGCCAGGTCTGCTACCGTAGCCATTGCCGCGGAGCATGCCGACCTCAGCTTTCCGCATCTTCGGGCTGCGGCGCAAGTCTAGAAACAGCTGAAACCTCGGCAAACCTGAAGGACTTTTGAGAACCCAAAACCTAACCCTAATGGCTCCAAGCCGCGGGGGGCATGACGCAGAGAAGCAGTAGCCCGCTCCCGCCAGCCTCCCAAGGAGGCGTACTGCCGCACGCGCAAAGCAGTCAAACCCAGCAAACCCATCAAACACCAGCAAACCCTGGGATGAAAACTCCGTGCATCAGAGGCGCCTTTGGTGGTCAACGAGACCCCTCCGGCCCGCACAAAAGCCGCCTCGCACGCCGAAACTTGGGCTTTGGATTTCAAGCAGACTTCTTGAAACAGACTGGGACAGACTGTCGGAGGGCACCCCCTCGGTGCCAGCGCACGATGACCCTAAACCCCCCTTTCAAGCGCGCGCCCGATTGCATCATGAAGAACCGGGGCAAAGGGGCCTTGCCTACCCCGGCGGCAGCATGCTCTAGCGAGCCCAAGATCGCATCCACCTCCGGTGGGGCAGCTCTTTGCTCCGAAGCCGAAGTGCTCAACCGAGCAACTGAATGACAGCGGAGCTTTAGTGTTTAGGGTGTAGGGTTTAGGAGTTTAGGGTTTACGGATCAGGGTTATATACTTAAGAGGAAGATTTAGGGTTAGGGATCAGGGCTTATACTTCAGGATCTTCAGGTGTTTCTCAGCTGTAAACACCCCCCTGCCTTTGAGGGCGGGACCGATCGGAGCTCGGTGAGACCCCGGCCGTTTTCGCCCAAACAGCCAAAGGACAAGGTCTCGTCGAGAATCAGGAGGGCTCCATGCCTCTCTTTCCTGGCTATTGACTTGCTGTCTACTTGCCCCCCCCTCCCCCCCCCCGCAAGAAAAAAAAATGACGACATCGCCCCGGTGCAAGGTGCAAGCAAGGGTCAGCTGCACGAGTTCCTCCAGTGGTGCCAGCTGCCCGGTGCGTTGGTTCATGGCCTCAACCATGATGAAGGTTCGCCGTGACTCCTTGGAGTCTTTGCCTCTCGGGAAAGGATGGGAAGGGAGAGCCAGGTTGGAGAACTTAGAGGGATGCAACACACACAGCTGGCTACACTTAGGCAGGTGATGCCCTGGCACGGGCCTTTCTCCAAGCTCCTTGTCGACTTCTGTGCCAACGCCCGCTCGATGGCAAACAGGTCGTTGTGGGGAACCCAAGTCACGTCTGCCTTGCAGAGTCGGAGGCCAGCTCGGAATCCCAGGTGTACCTCGGAATCCACGATGACCCTGTCCCCTGTTTGCACCAAGGCAGGGATGACACTGGAGACAGTCGTCACACCGGCCGAGTAGACGATGGCAGACTCACAGCCCAAATGTCTGGCGAGCACGCTTTCCAGCTCCAGGTGGGGCAGAGCACCGCCATAGAAGCCACGAGGACCACAGGCCCCAAAGCCGTAGGTGTCCATCGTGGCTTCTGTGGCTTGGAAGGCTGCCTCTAGGGGTTTGGCCGCATAGCCAAGGGGGTCCATCAGCCGGAACTCCTGGCCGGTCGGCACCGCCTTCTCGGGCTGGGCACAGGCCTCCTGCAAGGAGGCCAGCAAAGTCCCTTCGGCGGGCGCCGCCGGTGACAGCGCCTCGGGCTGCCAGCTGCTTGCGGGCGTGGCCTCCACGCGCCTGGTCAGCGGGGCCGTGCGGAGCCAAGCGGCGTACTGCTGATCCTTGGCGGTGCGGGCCTCCAACTCCTGCTTGGAAGTGGCCAGCTCGAAGAGGACGCCGAGCTCACGGCCCACAGCTGTGATCTGTGTGATGGCCTCAGCCAGCTGCGGGATGGTGTGGGCCGCGGAGATGCAGAAGCGAACACGCTCGTAGAGGATGGGCACTGCAGGGTTGCCGACCACGACCACTGCAATGCCACGGTCAAGGCAACGCCGGGAGAAGGCGCCCATCTTCCAGGGGTGGTGCAGCATCACCGGCACAATCGGCGAGTCCACGTCGCCTAGGACCTTGAAGCCGCAGCGGCCCAGCTCCTGTGGGAAGACATATCATGAGACAACACCAGGCTCTGCATAACAACCCTCCAAAACTGTGCCTCACGGAAGAAGTTGGCATTCTCCCTGATCGCCGCCAGCTTGCGTGCACCGGTGTCACCACCTTCGTGCCGGATCAGCAGAGAGACGTACGAGGATCGTCTTAACTTCCGATATTATTTCCGGAAATCCTGAAACTTCTGAACCCTGAACCCCATAATCTGAAGACCTTCACTCAACTCGCGAATCCCAGGTCTAAAGCTCCCGAGCCTTCCTTGCCGGAGATGACGCGGAGCGCCTGCAACGCCTGGGCAGCACAGGGTGGCGCCATGCCACCGGCAAACCTCGGGCAAGGGACTGTATTGTAGCTTTCGGCCAGCCCAGCGTCAACTACAGGGCTGCACAGTTATGCACAAGCTGGGCTCACGCCCACACCTGCACGGTGTAAACGACTCGGCTATAGTACCGCTGCAGAAGGCATATGCCAGATGCGATTGCGCTGCTCTTCCCGGCCCCCAGCAGAAGTGTTTTTACCATCACCCCACTTGCCACCATCCAACCTGCTGTTAGCAGAAGTTCGACTGCACATCATTCGAGCGACACGCTTCCTGGGGCTCCCCGGCGAAGAGCAGCGATGACTTCCTACCAGGGATCCGCATAGTCTCTTCAGAAACCCACAAGCACGAAGTAATAAAAGGTGAATAACCTACAGCTGTGAGTGGGGCACCTTAGAAGATGCGACGTAACCGCCAGCGCTGCCGAAGGACTTGGTGAAGGTTCCCATCATGATGTCCACCTCGTGTGCTGGATCAGCAGCTTCGTGGCTTTGGTTGCACTACTTCCTCCACATCTGCCTGCCCTCGGCCCTAACAATAATAATAGAAACAAGTATATGGATATCTAAGTCTAAACTATACGAACATATGAACATATGCAGATATTAATGAACTCATAGAACAATGTAATCACATAATATCATACTACCCGCCAAAAAACAATCATCAAACGGTGGGCACTGGGGCCTCCGAGGTGGGAACTCCCAGAAGCTCCGTGACACCGCGGCCGGACGCCCCAACGGCACCAATGGAGTGGGCTTCGTCCAGGTAGAGGTAGGCTCCATACCTTCGGAATGCAAGAATGCAATATCATTCCCAGAACATAAGAATAGAATACCAGAGTAGTGTGGAAATACAATGCTGATACGAATACCATGTTGTGGCAATACTGCGGCACAATAGCAGTATGATCTTACAATGTTACGATGTCGGAAAATAGCAATGTACCCATGTTAGTTGAGGGAGTTCAGATATTCAGAGGCCCTGCAAAAACAATAGGGTTTAGGGTTTAGGGTTTAGGGTTTAGGGTTTAGGGTTTAGGGTTTAGGGTTTAGGGTTTAGGGTTTAGGGTTTAGGGTTTAGGGTTTAGGGTTTAGGGTTTAGGGTTTAGGGTTTAGGGGGGCATGTGGGCGTGCCATGGAGACAAGAGCTTTCGAGCCGGCCCACCTGTTCTTCAAGGTCACAATCTCGCGCAGGCGGCAGAAGTCGCCTGTCAAGGTCTACTTAGGTATGTAGGGACGATAAAGTTATATATATATATATATATGTATATATATGAATATATATATATATGAATATATATATATATATGAATATATATATATATATACATATATATATATATATATACAGGGGTTATAATTTGGGGAATGAGATTAAGGGTCCCTTCTAGGGGTCCCTTTTCATACCCCTTGAACGCGGCCGCTTCCCACCCCTCGTCATATCTGAGCGAACATGCTAGGTTTAGGAGAATGACAGCGCGTGCCATAACACCAAATCACACAACATCACATAACACACGGCATCACATGGCGTGACATGAAATACATGACCTGGCCGAAATATCTGAATACTGTGTACATGTATTTGTTAATTGGTGATTTTTAGTTCATTCTAACACAAACAAGCTCAGACAGAGAGACAGACAGTGAACTACTTCGGTGCGCTGCACGATCATTCCGTACGTGTATATACTCTGAAGTCTCCACAGCTGATTCGCAGAAACTATCGCGCGACCCCCGGCATCTGCTGGGTCGAGGCTTCCCCGTCACTCGTCAGAACTCCGCAACCCCGGGGCGGGGCCTTCCATGGAGTAGATACCCTCCACGACGACAAAGACCTTGCGCCACGGCTTTCCGCTGCCTCAACGCTGGCAATTTTGGGGGAAAAATCCGCTTAAGCCACCAGTTTCCGGCACTCCGAGCACTACAAAGCTACAAAAAGCCTCTGTATCTTCACACAATCTTTGAGACCGCTTCGCCCCCGCCTGGCTGACCCTTCTCCACAGCCTTTTGCAGCTCAACCTCCAAGGCTTTCATCTCGTTGTGGGCAAAGGCTCGCACGGTTGCGCCGGAGAGGCGCACGCCTGAAGTTTGTGTGGAGGGAAAATGGAGGGAAAAGCCCGGGAACACCAATGTCGGAAGACTTTTTTTGGCGGACTTTCTCGGAAGACCCGGCCTTCCACAATCGAGCGGTGGTTCAGCTCGTCACTCAAGACCAGGATGCCACTGCCGCTGGCGTTGGCCTCCAGCTCTTCTTGATTCTGAGTCATTCTCTGTCCCTCTTAAGCGGTTTAGGGTTCAGGGTTTAGGGTGTAGGGTTTAGGGTTTAGGGTTTAGGGTTTAGGGTTTAGGGTTTAGGGTTTAGGGTGTAGGGTTCAGGGTTTAGGGTTTAGGGTTTCGGGTTTAGGGCTTATGGTTTAAGGTTCGGGTGCTTTTTTAGTAGATGGTGATTGTGTGACATAAAACGACCTACACAGCGCCTCTCACAAGCCCCCCAGGCCTCGAAGAGGGCCGGGAGGATGGTGGAGTTGGTGGCGAAGCCCATGCCAAGAACCAAGGCATCCTCCTCACAAAACGCAAAAAACAAGGATGCCAAGAAGAATATAAGACCATAATGCCATAAAACCATAAAAATCCAGAATTTCTTATATACCAAAATACCATGATACCACAATGCCGTTATACGATCATGCCATCATCCAGTACTACAAGACTATAAGACAATAAGGCTATAATATCATACTGTAAGACTATAAGACTATAATACTATAATGCTATAATACTGTAATACTATAAGACTATGATACGATGATACTAGAAGAGTATGAGACTATAAGACTATAAGACTACAAGACTATACTACTTTAATACTATAATACTATAATGCCATAATACTATCATACTCTAATGCTAAACTACAAGAGTACGATAATACTAAAATACAAGAATACTATAATACGATAATTCTAACAAATGCTATATTACTATACTACTATATCATACAATCATACTCTTCTGTAATGATATTAGAGCAGAGCACCGAGGTGCTTTCAGGATACCCTGGGCTGTTGCATGCTTGCATGTTGCAGCTTCGGGGCGTGCCTTTTGCAGGTACGCCGCAACTTCATCTTCAAGCTCTCGGTGGATGTCCTGGAGGGGGTCATCATCAGGAGCACACGGGAATCAGGCTGAGCAGCACTATCAGCAGGGCGTGCTAGCATGTGAACGGGCCTTGGTACCTCCTTCCGTGCGCGTCCCCGAGGTGGACCAGCCTAGCTCCCGGACAGCCTTCCGTGCGACCGGGGTGCAGAACCTTGGCATCAAGCCACATCACAACATCAACATGGCGTTTTAAAAATCAGCTGCATCTCTTACGAAAGTCTTCACCGCAAAAGTCCGCGTGGTCTGTGCAGAGCCCCTATGCATGAGAATCATGAGATTGCATGAAATACATGATGAACACCACCGGGCAGCTCGTCAACGCCACCAAAACCCAGGTAGTTGTAGGACGACAGGTTCACGCACTTGCGAGTGGTCGACGTGAGCTTCAGGTCATTCAGTGGGCCGAATAAGTCCCCACCAGCGCGCTCCCGGATCACGACATCGACAGCCGCATCGGGTGCAGAGGCGATGGGTCGCGCAAAGCAATCCACGTAAAGCTTGTACATGTGCTGCAAGTAAAAGTCGGTCCAGCCAACGCTCCACTTCTCCCGCTGCATGTACCGCACGCAAATCTCATCCTTCAGGAAAAAGGCGCAGGCACGGACAATGTACTCGCGAATGAGGCCGAGGCAGAAGAGGCGCACGTAGCCGAAGTAGGCATGGGCCTCCTGAAGGAAGGTCATCTGGATCTTCTCATGCGCTGTGCTGGCCTTCTCGCCATCCTTACCATCCTTGCCCTTGCCAGCCTTGCGCCGGCTGGGGCACAGGAGGCGGAGCAGGGCGCCCATGGCATGGTTGAAGAGGGTGAGGGCCGTGGCCAAGAGGCTGGCCACGGCATCGAGCATGCCGGAGAAACCCAAAGAGGAGGCATGGTCCCGGGGGTCCCACCCCGTCAGAAGCGTCCAAGATGCACCCTCCACCGTGAAGAGCCGCCAGAGCGGCTCCAGCGGGCCCAGGCCCGTGCCATCCGAGAAGAGGTCCGAGAACAGCAGATCCGTGGAGTCTGCGCACTCCATGAGGTGGGATGTGGGGGCGTTGGAGTACCCGGCCCCTGCTTTGGGGCTCTCCTCTACGAGCGCCAGGAGAAAGCCCACGGCGGCAATGGTGGCACAGCATGCCAGGAAGAGGCCTGCCTGAGCGAAGCCATGACTGAGAAGCTCGGGACAGTTTTTTTACACACTTTGTGCATGCACTTCCGGTCCTACGCCAAGACAAGACGGACAAGACGAGAATGCCCAAATGAGCGGGGCTACACCCCATGGGCTGGCGGCAACATCCTCGAGCGGGAGCATACTTCCGGCCCTACGGTCTTCAGAAGGTGGCTTGCGACACTTGCGACAATGGCTCACCGTTCTACCTCATTCAGCTTGAGCACAGTACGCACCCAAGTAGGTCTTGACAAAAATGTGCACATGGTCACGTGGCTGCTGGACCCTGATCTCTCTGAAAGTGCTTCGCAAGATACTGCAAGAAACTACTGCGCTGCAAGGAACATCCGTCTCTTTGGGCCGTTGGCCTCAGGGCATTGCGAAGCCTGCCAGACAGCCAACGAACCGTCGCTCGATGTGCACCTCACAGTGCAACTGTGAGATCTGAACTTGCCAGACCTTGCTGGAAAGCTCTAGTCACTCTAGCCGACAGTCCATCATCAAGACGGTGGCCACACGGCTGCCACAATCCACAGCACCCGTGCTCCATCACACAATCGGGCGCCAGACGCGGCGTGAGCTGCCACTCCTCCACTCAGTAGCACGACAACGCGGAGTCCCCTGCTTGAGAACCAGACCGCGGACGTGCCCAAGCTGCCCAAAACGGCTCCTGAAAACTGGACGACAGCCAGCGCCTGCTTGCGGAGAGCAAGGCCAGGCTGCCTCAGGAGTTGAAGGAGTTGAGAAGCGGACTCGAAACTGATTTCCAAAAAAACTGCCTTTAAGGAGACCTTCCTAGGAAGTGGCCCCCCTTCGGAGCTCCAGGCTGTCCATGTTGCCGGAGTCGGCCAGCGCAACACCTTGGTGTTGGTGCAGATCACATGGCAAGACCTCTTGAAGAGTCATGACTCGCGTACGGTCACTGGGGTCTGCAGTGTCTACAGGTATACGCAACCCTTCTCTGACATGCATCTATCCCAGTTGGTAGGGCTGTGTTCGAAAACCGTCTCAAGCCTCAACAGCGCAAAGATCTTTGCTTAACAACTCGCAGAACACGCAAACCTCTTGGGCCGCTGCAGGCCTCCAACACCAAGCTTGTCACTGCCTTTGTCCCCGCCGCGAGACCCAGATCGCTCGCAGAATGAGGGCCGCAGTTGTACCCCCACTTTTCTAAGGCTTCTTTCTCTGCACCAGCCTCTTTTGTACACCTCTCCACAAATCTCGCGCCCCCTTTGGGGATCCCGGCCAAGCACCAGCGCCGCGCCGCCCCAGCCACGAAGAGCCGACGGAACTCTGTTTGCTCTGGGAGCGCAGGACCCTGGCACCAGAAGGTTTGGGGTCCATCTTCGACTCAAAAATGGTAGCATCAACAAGGAAGTTGAAAGACGACTGGCCAAAACAGTCCTACCTAGAACCCATGAGGTTGTCTTACTAAGGCCTTGGGTTCTCCGTGACTCTAAACCCTAAACCCTAAACCCAAACCGTAAACCCTAACCGTGAAGCCTCCATATCCTCCTCCAACCGCCGCCTCTTCACAGGGGGCTCCTGGCGTCAGGCAAAGTGGCTCAACTACGCCCACACGTTCCAAGCCCAAACCTGGACCAGAGGCCAGATGACATGTTACACTTCAAACATGTGGTCTACGCGAGCCATGCACTTTTCCGCTTCTCATCTTGCTCTCTGCCTCATCGGTCTCGGAGCAGAGCCGTGCCACTACCTACCACGGAGCAAAGCTCACCACCACATTGACAACTACGCATGCTTCTTGTAGCGTACGTACCGCGCAATGAGCAAGAAGATGCCGCACCAAAGAACCGCTTCCCTGTTCCCGCTTGCCGAATCACGTGCCTCAGCAGTATCTCTTGTAAGACGGCCTCACCTCAAGCACCTTCACCACTCTTCAGCCCACTTACCTCGCTTTACTTGAGGCTTGCCTGGCCTGCATCCAAGCATTCTGGTCCACTCCTTAGGCTGATGTTGGTCTGACTACCTGAGTGGCCTGGTAGGGCCGTAGACGACTTACTTGCACTGTCACTGTCACTGGAGACCACCGGCAACTACTCGAATTCGAGACAGGCTTACTTTTCATCCATTTCCAGGGCCCCCACCAGGCAGCTGCTGCTCGGAGGCACAGGGGAGCCTGCGCAAGCTACAGGACCGGCTCATTCCCCGAGATCTTGGAGGTCACAACACGCGGCGAGCACTTTGGGGCTTCTCTTCAGGCCCTGGGCTGCCTCAACTCTGGCACAGGTGGGCTGGTCGGCGCAAGCTCCAACCTCAGGGGCTAGCGCCCTCGGTCCCTCGCGAGAATGGTTTGCTTCCAATCCTTTTGTGAGCTGTTGAAGGGCTTGCAGCAGCAACAGAAGTTTGACTCTTTCACGCTTTCACTTCTCAGACACTTGCGCAAGCACGCACACACCCACACAAACATCTTCAGCTTTCCACAGCAGCATCGTTTCAGTGCGCCAACACGTTCACAGACACAGACACCACGCTGAACCCTGCGGCAGAGCAACCCAACAGCCGCAAGATGGCTAGAGATGGGAATGGGCAAAGTAGACTTTAAAAAAAGAAACATTTAACAACCCTTACACAAGCCTCTTCCGCCGCGCGTGTAGCGCATCTGCGCCTTCGAAGGCTTGCAGAGCACTCATTCGGTGGTTCTCAGATGTCTAAAAGGGACCTCTGCGGCGTTGCTAAGGCGAAGGCAAAGCCAAGCTGCGCAGATCGAAGTCTCCCTGGCAGCTGTTTCGTTATTTTATGTATTTACTTATGTATATATATATATATACATATGTTCAGGGTGTAGGGGTTTAGGGTATAGGGTTTAGGGTTTAGGGTTTAACTGTGTGTTGTGCAACAGGTCTAACAGCAGAGCGGAGGCTGCCTCGGACTCTGCTCGCCGCGGTCCAGGTCAGCACCTCATGGGAGCGAAGAAGAGCATAGAACAGCACAGACAGCATCAGAGACTCAGCATAAGACTAATAATATTCATAATATTCACAGAAAATAACAATCTTATTATTAATAATAAGATTAATGAGATTCAGAATAAATTAATAATAAGGTTCACCTCGAGAGTCTCTGTGGGGTCTGCAGCAGCGACTGGAAGGACTGCAGCCGCTCCGAAAGCGGCAGAGATTACAGAGCTCACGTGGATGACAGATGATGACCGCATCTAATTATAACAATTATATAATTAGCATGTATAATATCATTCATGAGATTCATAATAGATTCAGCGTCTGCGCCGCGATTGGTTTGGGCTGGCGCCTTCCTCCCTGACGCAATCCCAGCCGGCATCAAAGGCCTGCAAGAGGACTCCATCGATTCCAGAGAGGACTTGGCTTCGCAAGGCACTCCCTCCTTCAACGGCTTCTTATTCTTCTTCGTCTTATTCTTATTACAATGTTCTTATGATTATTAATTACAATTATTATTATTACTATGATTATTACTATTTTTATTGTTATTATTATGATTATGGTTCTTTCTGTGATGCGCCCACAGCGAGGCTGCAAAAGTTCACCTGCCCAGGCCAGGCCCCCAGCCTTCTTCACCTGCTCAGGTCCTCGAGGCAAAGGGTTTGAACGAGGCCCAACGTCTCGGAGCCCTACTGAGACGAGTCCTTGGAGTCGAAGGACACGTCTGAGGAGCTTCAAGATCTCGCCTTCCAAAGACAAAAAAACAGAAAGAACCTGTAGAATCGATGTTCAGTACCTATGGTCCATTTGACCCCTGCTGGCTACTCGGCCAAAGCATGAACAAAACATGTCCGGCAGACAAACACTTCGCCCTTTGTACAGCAACTCAAAGGGGGCCTACGACACCAATCAACATGGAAGTCAACAGCGGCTCCTTTGGTGGCGGCCGTGGAAGACAAAGGGGTCATGAGAATCCGAAGCAGCAATCGCAAGGCCAGAATTTCTTACCTGCACAGCTCCTCATGCACCGCTTGCCACAACTTGCCTCGCAGTAGCTCGTCGCTTTCACCCCGAAGCAGGCCTGCAACGGATGCGCGGCACATTAAGAGGGCCATCAAGCAAAGACGCTTACATGTCGCCTGTCCCTTCACATCGTGCTTTTGTCTACTCTCATCGTTTCCAAGCCACATGCCACTTTTGCTTTAGGGCCGGGTATCTCAAAATCCCGTACCGAAGCGTTCCACATCTTCGGGTTCTTGTGCATGAGCAAACATGCCTCCCATCCCCCCATGGCCTAGCAGCAGCTCGCTCTGCGACAACGCTGCGCCTGTCGCAGCAACTCCCAGAAGTTGCTAAACCCTGGCAAAATCCCGAACTCGATACCCCTCACTCAACAACTCACTGATGGCAACGATATCCCATGATCAGAACCACTATCAATGTTGCTGCCCGAAAGCTGGGGCCTGGCGCTCGCATCGCCAGGCATGTGGAAATGCGCAGCCTCTGAAGGTTTCCACCAAGGATTTGCAGCGGAACACTCGGCCTTGTCAACCCCATGCTGGAGGTACCAGCAAGGGCATGCTGCAAGAAGTATACGTGAAAGCGACAACACATCTGCCACTACCATCTGACTGCGTCTAAAAAGCCTGCAGTGGCTGCTTGCAAGATGCGTTAAGCTGAGAATGGCCTTTGCACCATGCCTGCGGAGGCTGAGGCCGTAATTTGAGAGGAGCCTGCGGAGCAGTTGACAACGCCAGGGAAGGCACGGGAGGAGTTACACAAGGTGGTGAGTTTCCTTGCAAAGGCATCTGAGCACGGCACATCGATTGTAAGCCTGCGAGCTTGCAGAAAGCTTGGACATGGCATCCCGTGATGGTTTCCGGCAGTGACACAGGCGTGAGGCAGGGATACCTGCATGGCGGCGTCCAGATGCTTTACGTGCCTGTCACGAGCAAACGGGCCGAGATCATGTGGCGGAGTCTCCATGATTCCCCCGTACATCTCCATGTCCAGACACTCGGCCCAGTTTGACCTTCTACGCTGGCGGCTTTGGTTCGAGCCTGAGGCTCTCGAGAACAGCTTCCATCTCTTTCTGCTTGTCCTGACAGTCGCGTGTCCAGTCTAAGTCTCCACAACAGTGGGTGAACTCACGCTGACAGCTTGCGGGCACTTTTCACGTTTAGACTGCGGTGGGAAGCCTCGTTCACCTCCGCATGCTCCTGCACAGCTCCGACGGAGAAGTCGACCAAGGAGGACAGCCTCAGGACCCAGCTCAGCAGTGCTCAGCATACCCCACGTCGCTTGGTATCTCTGAGCTCGGAGCACTTCTGGAAGCCTGGGGGCCACTTCCAGAGGGGCAGAGCCAACGTTTGTTTTCGAATCGGCTTGCTCAGGGTTCTGGCCCTGCCCTGGCCCACGGCTAACATAGAAACGCAAGACATCGAAAGACTAGCTACGCTAGCCTTCGTGATGGCGATCGTCTCTACACTTTTTGCATATGTGTACATACATATACACACACACACATATATATCTGTAAATATAAATATATATATATATGTCCATCGATCTATGTATCTATCTACCTATCTGTACATCGAAGCAGAAGAGAGAGAGAGAGAGAGAGAGAGAGAGAGAGAGAGAGAGAGAGAGAGAGAGAGACAGAGAGAGGGTTCATACTTGCAAGAGCTCAGTCTGACAATCCCTCAGAGGCCTCGGGCAGCCCAGTAGCTCCCGCAGCAGCCGCCGCGCTGCCTCGCGTTCCTCCTTGGCAGTTGCCGTCGCTTCGATTTCTGAGATTGCTGGGTTTGCCAGAGCCGCATCACAAGCATTGCAAAGCGGCTCAGGCAAATCATACTTCGATTACCTGGAGCAGTCTGCACTCCGCAGAATTCGAAAGTCCTCCTCGTCCTCCGCGGTGTCTTCATCGGCATCTCAGATGCAGACAGGGTTCTCCATTCAAAGACCACGTGAACCATCAAAGATGTGTCCTTGCTTAGTTCTCTGAATTAGGGTACTTTTTTTGGGCTCCTGATTGTGAACTTGCCGTACCGTATATAGGACTCCAAAAGGGTAGCCCAATTTAGAGAACTGCCCAGATTTCACAGGAGCTGCAGCGCCTGCGCTGAGCCCGGCGGCGGTCGCGGCGCGCTGCGCGAGGCAGTGGGCCAAAGCACGGCACCGGGGCCTCGAAAAACTGGGGCATCGTGGGGCTCAGATCTTCCCAAAGAGAGTTTTTGAGTTTGGGGTTTGGGGTTTAGCGGTTTAGGGTTTGGGGTTAGGCTGAAGCACGTGAAGCCCCCGAGAATCCACACTCATCACCATATGAAGCACCGCACGATTCCCGTTCTTTGCGGCCTCAGCCCTGCATGAAGCAGCTGCGCAGACGCACGCATTGTTGCCGCAGACGCCAGGGGCTCTGGACCTGGGAGTTCAAGAAATCCCTTAAAGGGTATATATATATATGGGGGATTTAGGGGCCCGTATATAATCCCTTCAAGGGTACAGGGGGGATGCAGGGGTTCGAGAAAAGAGGGCGAAAAGCAAGGAAAGCAACTCGTGGGTTCCTTTTCGCCAGAGCTTCCAGGCACCCAGCGATGATCTGCCAGCAGCGCGCGATGGCACGTGTCTGCGAATCGAGGGCCTCCATCTGCAAGTTCTGCATGCATGCTGAATGTGCTCTGACGTGTTCCGCATGACTTGTGTCCTTGAAATCTAGTAACTAGTAGGTATGCAGAGATACCAGCAAACAGGAAAGAAGCCGCTGAAACAGAGGTGGCCAAAGACCCTTGATAAAAGCAGATGCCAGAAAAGCACAGGGTGCCACCCATGGTTTCTTCCAGCGACTGTGCCGACCATACCGCCTGCAACATGCTCTCAAGGGGAGCCACGCAACTGCACGAGTCGCAAATCCAGCGCAGACCAGAGCCTGCTGCTTGACGGACATCAGCCTCGCAGCTGCTGGAAGCCTTGGAAGACGCATGCCGGCACCTTGACGTGCGTGAGCTGAGGTCAACGTCACATCGGGCCACGGCCTGGACTTCAAGATCTGCGTAAAGCCTTGGTCATCTTCTCAGCTCGAACATGCCCACAAGGCCCCTTGCAGAAAGTTTCACCAAGCCCGCGACTTTCTTCCAATGCAAGAAGCGGCTGCTCGGCCTTCATTGGATGCGTCGGGGCTGGCTTGTGCAGCAGCACATGTGGGGGTTTACGCAAATAAGGGAACCCTAATTTAAACCCCCAGATAGTAGGATCCCCTCATAGTAAGGACCCCATTAAGGCACCGGAACATTTCGGAAACGCCCATTTCTTGCAAGAGCTCTGCCAATCCAGCTGCACTGATGCCTAGTCTCGCTGGCCTCTTCTTTTGCCAGCGCCTTTGCTATGCACAGCCTCACGCACGCATTGTCTTGCGACATCTATTTCCAGTTCTCGTTGGATCAAGAATCGAAGGCCAAGGTCAACCCATGTCAGCCCTGCTGGGCCAAGCAACTGCCCTGAAAAAGTATTCCATCCCTAAACCCTAAACCCTAAACCCTGAACCCTAAACCCTGAACCCTAAACCGAACCCTAAACCCTAAACCCTGAGTGAAGGACAGAGCTTGCCCGCGAAAGCACATCTGATCCGGTCCTGGGATGGCAGCCTCGGCTTGGCTTTCAGGGCACCCGCAATCCACGATTCGTAGGGGGTTTCCGATAGTATAGGGGTACCCTCCCAGAGGTCCCTTTTTTAAAGGGGATTCTACTATTTATATGTGGGGGCAAAAAGGGGTACCCCTATTATAGGAAACCCCCAATGTAAAAGAAACAGACAGAGGCAACAGTGTCTTGCGACTTGTTGAACGGTACGTTTGTCACTGGCTCGAAGATGGGAGCGAAGCGCAAGACAGGCATCAGGGGCACTAGGGCAATCGCAAGCAGCTGGGAATGATCATGGATGTGCGGAGCAAAGGCAGAAAGCAGATGGCCTGGACCAACATCCGAAACAGGGACCGGCCATTGGCATGCTGTTGAATGACATACTCGGGCTCAGGCAACTTTGGATGCTTCTCTGATGAACTCGGTGCGTTCATCATGATCAGCCGCCTTCGGAACAGGTGGCAACACGGCAATCTGGTTGCAACCCTGGTGAAGCTACCTCTTTCTGAAATCTATCATTCACAAAATCAACCACCCTCGCCAACCCTGCTACATCCTCGTCATGATACCGCACGACTTGCACTCACCAGCATACAAACAATCACCCAGAGCTAAAGACATCGATCAACTGGGCATGTTCGGTTACATGACCTCGTCAAAGGGCCCACAAATCTTGTTGAGCATCAGCATCCATATTCCGCGGCGCCTCTCCTTTTGGAAGCTGGCACATGAGGCAGAGCAGATACAGCAACAGCAAGATCAGCAGCTCAAAATCCGAGGTTCTCACGTGCAACGATGCGTCAGCAGCCATGTCCACGGATGCTCTCTTGGTGTTGTTGGCTAATACGTGTTCTATGATCTTGCCGCGACTGTGCAAGTTCTGTTGCCGTGTCCCTACGTTGAGGCAAAGTCTGCAGCGCCGAAGGTGCGGGGGGGATCCTTAGGGTCAGTGAAGGGGGCCTCCCATCACGTAATCAGGATGAGTATTCATCAAGAAATACAGGTGGGGGGGTGGGGGGGGGGTGTGACCGTAAACCCTTGGGATATCAGGAAGGTCACCTCAAGTCGCCTCTGCGACGAGTACCACATGCATCCAATCACTCGGTCATCAGCTTGCTGTGCAGCACTTCAATGTGGGATTGGAGGCAGGGGGGGGTGGCATGTAGAAACGGGAGTCTTCACTCACGCAGCGCCAAAGCCTAGGAGAGGAGCGAGGAGCTCGGCGAAACCGACTAGAAATCCCCTGGAGGGAGGGGAGTACGATTTTACGACTGATTGTTTAACAACCACCCACACCCCAAACCCCAAACCCTAAACCGCAAACCCCAAGCCCCAAACGCCAAACCCCAAACCCCAAAACCCAAACCCCAAACCCCAAACCCTAAACCCTAAACCCTAAACCCTAAACCCTAAACCCTAAACCCTAAACCCAACCCATCGAGTCAACTCCAACTTCGAGGTGCAAGCCGAAGTCAAGGGAACATTCGGAACCACAAAAACAGACTTTTAACGTCACAGATCAGAGACGCCGTCGGGATTGAGCTATAAATTGGGACCTAATTGTCCCAACTGATCCAAGTGCAGCCTTTAAATCTTTAAATATCCATCATGGAAGCCTGGCGCACACGTCATACAACCGCTGAGCCAAAACCTCAACACATCGCCAGGGATTGGCGAACTGTTGAGCCACGTGACATTGCAGCCATCCACCCCAGGCATCAACACACACGAGCATTGGTTGAAACCCTGGCTCACGCGAGGCCATGGGGTGGAAGGCTCAAGGGCTGAGGATGTTACCGAAGCTACCAGCCCGAGCGGGGGTTCCGCAACCTCAAAGTCTTGAGATTTCTTCACAGCCACTTGTGCTCGCATTTCTGGCTCTTCTTGCTGGAGCACTGTGCCAAAGCTGGCAGTAGGATGCTTTGCCTCGAAACCCAACACCCCGAAGAACTGACATAGCTCCATTGGAATGCGTGGTAGCTGTCTTGCAATCTCAACACATCGCCAGGGCGTGGCAAACTGTTGAGCCAACTGACATTGCAGCCATCCACCCCAGGCATCAACACACGCGAGCATCAAGCCTCACTAGGAACCTGCATGTCAAGGCTGTTGTCCTCGAACGTTGGTTGAAACCCTGGCTCACGCGGGGCCATGGGGTGGAAGGCTCAAGGGCTGAGGATGTTACCGAAGTTACCAGCCCGAGCGGGGGTTCCGCAACCTCAAAGTCTTGAGATTTCTTGACAGCCACTTGTGCTCGCATCTCTGGCTGTTCTTGCTGGAGCAGTGCCAAAGCCGGCAGTAGGATGCTTTGCCTCTAAACCCAAAAACCCGAAGAACTGAAATAGCTCCATTGGAATGCGGGGTAGCTGTCTTGCAATCTCAACACATCGCCAGGGCGTGGCAAACTGTTGAGCCAACTGACATTGCAGCCATCCACCCCAGGCATCAACACACACGAGCATCAAGCCTCACTAGGAACCTGCATGTCAAGGCTGTTGTCCTCGAACGTTGGTTGAAACCCTGGCTCACGCGGGGCCATGGGGTGGAAGGCTCAAGGGCTGAGGATGTTACCGAAGTTACCAGCCCGAGCGGGGGTTCCGCAACCTCAAAGTCTTGAGATTTCTTCACAGCCACTTGTGCTCGCATCTCTGGCTCTTCTTGCTGGAGCACTGTGCCAAAGCTGGCAGTAGGATGCTTTGCCTCTAAACCCAAAAACCCGAAGAACTGACATAGCTCCATTGGAATGCGTGGTAGCTGTCTTGCAATCTCAACACATCGCCAGGGCGTGGCAAACTGTTGAGCCTACTGACATTGCAGCCATCCACCCCAGGCATCAACACACACGAGCATCAAGCCTCACTAGGAACCTGCATATCAAGGGTGTTGTCCTCGAACGTTGGTTGAAACCCTGGCTCACGCGGGGCCATGGGGTGGAAGGCTCAAGGGCCGAGGCTCCAGCCCGTTACCGAAGTTACCAGGCAAGTCTTGAGATTTCTTGACAGCCACTTGTGCTCACATTTCTGGCTCTTTTGCTGGAGCACTGTGCCAAAGCTGGCAGTAGGATGATTTGCCTTGACGGGTGGAGAAGATCACGGTCGAAGTTCTAGGACCCCGATTGAAAGCTCCCATACACTCCCGAAGCCAGCAAAACTTCTACGGGGTTGACTTTACCTTGCACAACGCAAAAACAAAATAGGTCTAAACCCAAAATCCGAGACATAGCTCCATTGGAATGCGCGGTAGCTGTCTTGCAATCTCAACACATCGCCAGGGCTTGGCAAACTGTTGAGCCACT